TCCAGTTACGGTCCCCTGTTTGCACAGCTGGGCTTCATTGGGTGAGGGCTTGTGTTACACACAGTTTGTGATCGGAAGTAAATGCTTTTAAAACAACCAAAGAGACAGGTTTTTAACCTCCACCTCTTCAGATTCTTTGTTCACTCACTGAGCTTCTGTGGAGGTCATGAGGAAGTTGGGTACCCATAGGTCATTAGCCTGCGATTGAAACTCACCTGAACAACCCATCCCCTAGTGAGCGCATTAGCTTGGCTGCATTAAAATAGCATTAACAAATAAATAAATCCCAAAGGGCTTCATATTTTTCAAAGGCTTCTATTTGTAATGTCAAGGAAAGGGGGTAGTATGATGAAGGGTCTAGAACTCGAGGAGGAGGAGGGAAGGGTACTTATTGGAAGAGGTTAATGACCCTACACTACAGGAAGTTTGAAAAGCCAAAGAAAAAAAAAAGCCCCAAGACCAGCCATAGTTAATCTCAGAGAATTTTCTGAGTTTCAGCAGAGAAGTTCACATTTTGAAAGGGGTCTCAGAGGCCACTGAGTTCAACCCAGATTCCTCCACATCTTGACCAAGAAGTGTCCACCCGGCTTTGCTTAGATTGAAGACTTCTACCTCCTGACTGACTGACTAATGACCTTTTCACTTATAGAAAGCCTAGCTTTCCTCTTTCCAGCTTCCATCTTCAGACTTTTGCCCTGTGGGCCAACCAGCACAGAACTAACGCTGCTTCTTTGGGATAGCCATTCAGATTCATGAGGACAGCTTTCATCTCTCCCCCCTTCTGCTCCCCAGTCTTCTCTCGGCCAGGATAAACATTCCCAGTTACTTTAACTAATCCTCTTATATCTTGAACATAAGGCCCTTCCACATGCTGGTTTCTCTCCCCTGGACTTCCTCTGGCTAATTGAGATTCTTCCTAAAAGGGATACCCCAGCACAGAACACAGTGCCCAAAGAGGATATCACCAGATCTTGGTGCCACACACTCTCTCAGTGCAGACAGAGTCTTGGTTTTCTTGACTCACATACCTCACTGCCAAAGTATCTTTTCCTTCCCGAGTTGAAATTGTGAGGCATCCGAATCTTTCCAGAATGACTGCACATCATTTCCCTTCTATGATACAGACTCGTCTACCAGCTGTTCTCCAAATCTAACATCTTGAAGCCAGTGTCCTGTAGGCTTCTCAAAGTCCTGAACATTCTGAACAGAATTCGTTATGTGCCAGCCCCTCCTCAGACTCACCTCTTTCCAATTTCCTTGTTACTGTGGAGAGCAGCACCATTTTGCTAATCTAATTCTGTAAACTTTATGTCAACTTCAATTCCTCTTACTTACTCCATATAGCAAATCATTCGCTAAATCTTGGCAATTTTACCTTTACAACATCTTTTGCACATATCATTTTGGCTTTGTTCACAGGGGTCAGTCTGAGTGAAGGTCTTTATCACCTTTGATCTGGACTGTTTCAATAGCCTTTGAGTAGGCCTTCCTGCCTCAAATGTCTCCCCATTCCAATCTGCCTTCCACACTGATGCCAATGTTCCCCTTTTACCAAAGGCAAGACCTAATTGATAAACTCCAATACCTCCTTATTATCTCTAGGATCTGACATAAATGACTCTGTTTGGCATTTAAATCCATAAAATCTCTCTTCCACCTCACCTTCCGATGGAGTCCTCATGCTGCTAGTGTCTTCCCTTCCTTCAGTCGGTGCATGCCAGGCATGCTCACTTCTAACCTGCCTCAGATCCTACCCTTTGGACTATCTTTTCAACTCATTTTTTTAATGTGTTCTCTTTTCCCATTGGGATGTGAGTTCCTTGAGGGTGGGAACTGTCTTTTTGTTTACATTGATATTCACAGAAGACCAGTGTTACAGTAAGCATTCAGTCAGTGCTTTCTCAGATCTAACCTAATCTCCAGGCCTTTGTATTGATTGTTCCCCATATATGGAAAATTTTTTCTCCCTACCCATCCCTCTTAGAATCCTTAGCTTCCATCTAGGCACTGTAGCTATTGCTCAGTGGTTTTAATCATGACCAACTCTTTATGACCCCATCTGGGGTTTTCTTGATGAAGATACTGGAGTGATTTGCCATTTCTTTGTCCAGCTCATTATACAGATGAGGAAACTGAGGCAAACAGAGTAGGGTGACTTGCCCAGAGTCACACATCGAATTGGTATTTGGGATCAGATTTGAATTTAGGAAGTTGAGTCTTCCTGACTTCAGGCCTGGCGCTCTGTGCACTCTGGTGCCACCCAGCTGCCCCACTGAACGGCGCGTTAGGTCATGCTTTTTAAGTTTCCATTTTTCCCCCTCTCTACTGATAATTCCCACCATTTCTAAGGTTTCGTTTCCAGGCTAAGTCAGAAATGATGATCAATGCAGGGAGACTGAGGTCGCCTCTCATTTGTGTGTGAACAATTACTGTTCTCTTTTACTCAAACACCTGCTGTGGCTGGAGAGGGCTGCATTATCTACCAAGTACTGGGCACCCCAGTTACCACAAGTAAGTGAAGACTTTGTGTCTGTATTGTCCCCTTACCCAAACAAAGCACAGGTAACATTGAACTTGAATGTGAGCACAGTCTTCTGGGTCTTCATCAGCTACTTCCTCTACATTGTCAGATAACTAAACCCTTCCTCACGGACCCTAGCTGTGCTTCATGCAGTGCATAGAGCAACAGGAAGATTCATCCTTCTGAGTTCAAATCCAGCCTCAGACACTTAATAGCTGTGTGACCCTGGAGAAGTCACTTAACTTTGTTTGCTTCAGTTTCCTCATCTGTAAAATGAGCTGGACAAGGAAATGGCAAACCGTTCTAGTATCTTTGCCAAGAAAACCCCAAGCTGGGTCACAGAGAGTCAGACATGACTGAATAACAATTGACCTATGCATTTCCACTTGACAGCCTCCTACCTAGAGAACTCCCCTCACCCCCACCCCCACCCAATTGAGGGAAGAGAAAGCCACCTTGGTTTGTGGAATATGAAGTGGGTCATGGTTTGCACAGAAATGTGTAACAAATCACAATGCCCTGCTGTGGCAGCGGGGTCCCTGTATTCCCTAGCTCCGAAGACCACCCAGCCTTTTACTTGCTCGCAGTGCCAAATCTCCCTTTCTGAGCAGTCATGCCTAAATGATTGGCTCTTTGCTGGCATAGAAACAATCACCATCTCCATGCGGCTTTTTTTTTTCTTCATCTTTCTGGATTTTGAACAAAAGGACCTTAAACACCACTCTGTGACACCTAGAGCTGGGAGTAGGGGGTGGGGCTTTGGTCTTCCTTCATGGCGAGGAGGAAAGAATCCTCAGCATGCAGAATGTGGATGTGTTCTCCTTTGTGCAACTTCCATTGAAAATGTTTTCCTGGCAGATGTAATGGGTTTTAAGAAGGGGACTCCACCCTCTGGAGCTTTGTTTGAAAACCTCAAATGGAATGAAAACTCCACTTCATAACCTTCTGATGAAAATGAAAGAATGTCCATGCTTCTTCCTATGTTTGAAGGGAAAAAAAGTGGTGTGAAGGGATGTGGGTGGAGGATGGATGGCATTTGCACTGCTTTAATATTTTGGTAAGCTGTGGGGAATGTGTGTGTGTATGTGTCTACATATAGTATATATATGTGTGTATGTGTATATATATATGTATATATAGACATATGTGTATGTTTATAGACACATATATAAACACGTGTATATGTGTGTGTGTGTGTGTGTGTGTGTACGCATATTTATATCCTTAGTTATAGTTTCTTAAAGAAAGTATCATTTAAAGTCTTTGCTCTCGTACGACTTGGGAGCTCAGCTAGTAGAATTCTGCATTTGCCCCTGAAAGAATCTCCACGATTCATCAGTTCCCTGAGTAGAGTGTCATTGCATCATCTGTAAATCTCAATGTGTGAGCAACCCAAGAGGCACCAGACAGGAAGCTTCCAACTCAGTTCAACCCAACAAGCATTTAAATGTCTATCATGTACTAGGCATTGTGCAGGAAGCTGGAGTACAAGTATGGACAAAAATGCAAGTGTCCTTTCCTCCAAGGAGTCCATGAACATCTAGAGAGGGTGATTCAAACGGGCTAGGGCTAACCCCTGCGTATCCCTGGATAAGCGCTGGTACCCTGACAGTACAACTGATGTCGTGTGCTCCATATAGCAGACACTTAGATCAGATTCTCTGCCTGGAGCCTGCTCTCTGTGGGTGCTCCTTTGCGCCTTTGCCTTGGATTCCTCATCTGCAAAACGAATGTGTACATCACCCAGCTTCTCTGAATCTCTGATCCTATGATCCTAGGACTATACTCAAAGAAGACTACTGCTTGTAGTATTATTGCTACTACCACTCCTCCTCCTCCTCCTTCCATGCCTCTACTTCTATGAGTGCTACTCCTAGTATTATTATTACTACTACTCCTAATACCAGTGCTACCACTAATAGTGCCACTTCTACCACCACTACTACTACCCCCTACCATGGGTACTACTGGTATTATTATTACTATTGTTTCTACTACTAGTACACCACCACTACCACCACCACCAGCACCACCACTACTGCCACTACTATTACTACTACAACTATGACTACTTCTACTACTACTACTACTACTACTACTACTACTACTACTACTACTACTACTACTGCTACTACTACTACCACCACCACTACTACTATAGGAAAACAGTCCCTGCCCTTTGGGAGCTCAAAACCATTCATGGAGAGTTATTAAAACTAAGGCAGGGAGCAACCCTCCAGGGTCCTGGAATGAACTCGTTTCCTTTTTCTTCTTTTCCTCCTCCTCCTCTTCCTCTTTGCATACCACATGTGCTTTATTTGTTTGACTGAATAATCCTCCCATCAACTTAATTTGGCACAGACCTTTAGGGTTTTTCTACCTTCCTCATGAATGCTGGGCATGCACAGTGGGAATGGCAGGGACTTCTTTCCTTCCCCTGTGTTCTTCTCATGGCTCTCCTACCTTGTGTGTCTCACAGAGGTCAACATCATGTGGGCAGCACACCAGACACACCACAGCTCTGAGGCCTACAACTTATCCACTGCATTGAGACAATCTGCCCTCCAAGTTTATACGTCCTGGGTAAGTCACATTGAATGAGCAAGAGTGATAATATGCTTCTCTCATTTGAAAAAGCAGGCACACATCATTCTCTTTTCTCCTCTAAATAAATGGCTTAGTAGCATCCCCTACATGTGCTTCCTCCTTTTCCCTGTGACCACGTTCCCATCAAGACAGCGTTTTCTGATGGGTCTTGATCCAGAGGCCTCAAACAGTCCCTCCAACCAATCCAAGTGTTGTTCTCTGGAGAGCTAGAGCATGTGTCAAAGAAAAGGAGGCAGGGCAGTGGGAGGATGGCCTATTCCCTTCAGTCTGCCCTCACGAGGTGAGTGAAGGAGATCACACGAAGACAATTTGGGTTCAGATTTGAGAACTGATGCTTATCCCGTCTGACTCTGTAACTTCCAGTTCAGCTGTGTTCTTGTTATGTCAGGATGGCCACAAAACAGGATTGCAGTTTCCATTTCTGTCCCAGTCTTCTTCCCGACCACTGGGACAAGCGCTCACCATCGCTTTCCAGGACGGCACCATCAGCCTCCTAATTGAGTTCCTGGCTCGTAATGTCTTTTTGCTCCGGCCCATCTTGAACACAGCCTGGGAGGATTTTTCAGATTCTTTGTATTTCTGTTTCCAATACTGAGCAGAATGACTCACTCGGTCACTAACTATTTAAGGCCATGTCTTGGGCTTGATGTACATAGTAAGTACCTTATAGATGATGAATAATTGTTGCTATTGATACCCATCCAGAAAACACTCCTAAAACACGGGTCCTAGCATGTCACTGCCAAGCTCGAGAATCCTGACCAGCTTTCTATTGCCTCTGGGATCAAATATACATAAAATAAATACAGATTCACAATAATATGTTTCTAACAATAGCATATAGACAAAATAAACCTTTTAACTTGGCATTTAAAGTTTCCCGCAATTTGCTTCAAAGTATCTTCCCTAAATTCTTTCACAATATTCCTCTTGCCACACTCACTCTGCAGGCTAGAATGCACTACTACCTGTTCCCTGCTTTGTTATCCCACCTCTGGACCTTTGTCCTTGGAATGTGCTCCCTCCTTTCTTGGCCTTATATAATTAATGGCAGTTTGGCTTCAATAAGGAGCCATTCCTACAGGAAGTCTTCCCTGATCTTCCTCCCTGTTCATCCTCTCAGTGGGCTCAAAGGATCTTGTATCATCTTATATTCCCCAGTCCGTTACACCTTCCTTTAGGCCAGAGAATACCTTTTGTACGTCTTTGTTTTGTGCAGCGCCAGCTGGGGTTGAAGTCCCTTGTGCTAGGAGGAAAGAATGGAGGACGCGGCTTTCTCCTATGACCCCCTGTAGCAGGCCTTGGGCGCTAGTGCTGGTCTCTTCCTGCCAGCCCACAAACTGAAGCCTCCCTGCTCAGCAGAACAGGCCCAACCAAGGCCATGCAGTGAAAGGCAGAGACCAGGCTGGAACCCCCACCTGCCAGATTAATTGGTTACGTGACCATATTGCTTACTGTATTGGGTGATTGTCAAAGAAGGCAAGCACATTCTCCACCATGTAGCCTTCCTTTGCTTCCTGGATTTTCTCATATGAATATATTATCATAGTAGATAATGCTACTCCCAATCTCTGCTCAGCTTTAGACCACATACCTTGAGTCTATGCCGTCCGAATTGGGGAGTGAGTCCCTGACAACTGACCTTATTCAGGCCGTGCCAGGCCACAGAGCTGGCCTTCACATGTCATCCAGCCATATACTCCAAGCTTTTATTATGGGAATAGGAAAAAATCAAAACTCTGGCTGCTTGTGGAAAGGGCCTGGGAATCAACTCTATTCTGGCTCTTGTCACCACTTCTGTGACTGCCCAGATCAAGCCATCTGTTCTTGGCCACTACTGCCCATGACAATTGTCTGCCCCTGGCAGAATGCAAGTCCTCTGAGGGCAAGATGTTGCTCTGACGTCCCCAGTTCTTAATGCATAGTGAATACATAATAAATGCTCTGCATCCATTCATTCACTTGGTCATTTTTTGTATTCTCAGGGCCTTACACATAAGAATCATTTGTTAAAAAGCTTGTTCAATTGACCTGCATTGAATTTAGTGAAACATAGCCAGCCAATCAACATGCGTTAAGTGCTATTTGTTATACGCCAGGCACTCTGCTGAGTGTGGGAGTGCAAGGCCAGATGGGAAATAGGCCCAGACCTCGAGGACCTGGCATTCTATCTAGGCTGCAGTAAGGGATACTGGCACTTCGAGACTTGCTTTCCCCACTGCTGCCTCAGGTGTAAGCTTGACTTGATGTATTAGCCTCTCTGCATTGTAATGACCCTGACCCAGCTTGGCTTTTCTCATTGTCCAAACGCTGGACATGGGGGTAAATTTGAAACTGGACACAGCAATTTTAATAATAATATTGACGAGCATTTATGTAACATTTTAAGGTTGGCTAAGCACTTTATGACTGCATCCTCATCACCACCCTGAGAGATAGATGTTTCTTCTCTCCATTTTACAGATGAAGAAACTGAGGCATGGAGAGTTAATGACTTGCCCATGGTCATACACTAGCAAGTGTTTGATGTAGGATTTGAACTTAGATCTTACTGAGGTCCAGCATTCTAAATACTGTACCATATAGATGTCTAACTCTTAGATCCCTCACTTCTACAGAGGCGAATTGAGGTTATCAAAGGGGTTTTTTGCTTTAGAAATGTATATTTGTATATGTGAACAATTATGTATACACATATATATGCATACACATAAATTATGAATAGCTAGGTGGTACAGTGGAAAGAGCCCTGGTTCTAGAGTCAGGAAGACATCTTCCTGGCTTCAGACACTTACTAGCTGTGTGCCTCTGGGTAAGTCACTTAACCTTGTGTTTGACTCAGTTTCCCCATGTATAAAATGAGCTGGAGAAGGAAGTGGTAAACCACCCCAGGATCTCTGCCAAGATAACCCCAAATAGGGTCACAAAGAGTTGGACATGCCTGAAAAATGACTAAATAATAATATAAATTTAGGTATATACATATATTTGTACATGTGCTTATACACATTTATGTGTGTAAATAACTACATGGATTTATAAAACAACATTTCATTAAAATAACAACAGCCCTCACATTTGTATAGCACCATCTGGTTTATATCATCATTTGCTGCCACAAATCTTGTCAATAGTAAATATATTATTTTCCCCTATTTTACAGATGAGAGGAATGACTCAGAAGAGTCAGTGATTTTCCCAAAGTCACACAGCTAGTACATCCTTGAAGGAGGAATTCTATTCCTTACTGAGGCTCCTAGAATAGAAATGATGGGACAGAGGGCTCTGGTTTGGTCAGTCAATAATATTTATTAAGGCAAGGAACAATGCTGAGCTTTGGGGATACAAAGAAAGGCAAAAGACTGTCCCAGCCTTGAGAAGCCCCCAGTTTAATGGTTCGAGCACAGCGAAACCTGCCCAGGCATTGCTTCACCCCTCGGAGGTGGCTTTCCCCTGTTCCATCCTTGGCTCAAGCAGATCACACCCCCTTTTTACTCTGCCAACTTCAGATTGAGTGGGCTGATCAAAGAAAGAGCTGGCCCATCTCCCGGGGAGGAGTGGAACCACAGAGAGGCAGTCCAGCCACATGGATAGAGTGCTAACATCAGGCCAGTCACTAGCTACATAGCTTGAGGAAAGTCACCTCTCTTCTGGTCATCAGTCTCCTCATTTGTGAAATGGAAGGGTTTAAACTCAATGACCTCCAGGGTCTCCTACAGCTCAGAATCCATGTTCTCCATTATTCAAGGGCAAAGGCATCAAAGCCTGTCTTGGTTGGTGAATGAGTGGATGAGCCTGTGTGTTTCAAGTATTCCTATTTAGTGACAGCAAGTTGTCCTGTTTCTTCAAAATCTATTTACAATTTTATTGAATAAGTAGAATCCACCTTGTGATAGCTCTCTGGTGGGTTTGATCTGAATCTCCCTGGAGACCAAAAACAGACAGAGTGACCTTTCAGAGGTTCTTGTTTCCTCCTCATCCTTTCAAGCTCTCTTTGCATGGAATGATAAACAAGTCATGGGACTTGGAAGTTGCTAAGGCAACAATGCACCTTGGAATAGATGATTAATTGGCTATGTCTTCAAAGGGAAAATGCAACTATCAAAGAAAAAAGTAATTTATGCTCAGAAAACTCTTCTTCTCCCTTGTGATGGCTGGCACACCAGAGGGAAACTTTTTTGGTTTAAACTACTGTTAAATTAAGTTGATAATCTAATATAAAAAAAATAATAATAATAGTTGATGTTAAAAGCCTGATGTTAACTAGATACACTAAACCAAAGTGTGAGTGTTCTGCAAGTTGGATTCAACAAAGGTTGCCCATTTAATGTGGCTTTCAAATATTCTCCAAATGCTAATTCCCCCTCCCTAGTTACCTTATAATTTTATGTTTATTCCATCTAAACCTATGCATTATTATAACTATCTATCTATCTATCTATCTATCTATCTATCTATCTATCTATCTATCTGTCTATCTGTCTAATCTACATATGTTCCTCATTAGAAAACAAATTCTTTATTAGGATAGATATGTTCCTTTCCATTTCATATACATTTCTGTATGTAATAATTAATTCACCAATTTAACAGTTAACAGATATATCCAGGAGGCCCATTACCCCCCCATTTCAAATAAGAAAATTGGCAGGTAAATAGATGCAAAAAAAGTAAGTACAGAGCCACGTCAGCACCCAAGTGTGTGTAAAGTGAGAACAATTGTGGCACCTGTTTCCTAGGGTTGTAGTTAGGAATAAATGAGCTAGCATACGCAAATCACTTTTCAAACCTTAAAGGGCCCGGGCTGTTAGCACTTATGCCTGGACAGGACTACAGCAAGTGTCAACTTGGAGCTTGTATCAAAGGAGGTCCTGCATGGGCTGAAAAGCTCTGAGGGTTAGTGAGCATGAGTTCTGGGAAGTAGAGTACTGCCCTAGGGGTGGCTGCTTTCCAGGGCATGTTCTCTCTTAGGAGAC